TTGGCAGTACGTGATGAATATTCTTAGCTTATTAATATATATATATATATATATTAAAGTATAATGTTAATAAAAAGCTACGGAGGTATAATAAAGGCATGATAAATAGATTAAAAAGAAAATTATAAACAAATTGCAGCGAATGGAATAACCTTTAATTTACTCTTGTGAGAGTTTCCATTTCTTTGTACTTCCAGGTTATTTATATTTTTATTGCCGAAATCACCTTTGGGGTTTACTCGTAACCTTAAAGCTTTTGAAGTATAACTATCCGATTTGTCAAATTTTGCTATACTGAAAAAAAGAATTATTATTTCTAAAGTTTATTTAAATAACGAATATAAAAACGCTGTTATATAAATAATGGTTTTACGTAATAATATGTGAATTCGAGTAATTCTTGAATGTTTTTCTTTTTGCCCCGTAAAATATATCAAACGGCGAATGAGTTACGAATTTTACCATACTTATAAACAAAAAATTTTGCGAAGACGAGAAATAAACTAAAATTATTAAATATTTAAGCTATACGTTATCGATTTATTTTTACTATCGATACTATGAGAAAACTTCATAAAGTTTAAATTAACAGTGCCTGTTGAATATAATATATTCATATAATTGATTTCCTTATTTTAACATTTCTAAGTTTATATAAATTTATTACAAAAAGAGAGTTATTATTTAATTCAGTTTTGTAAAAGAATATAGTTATACAAATAGATATGATTGTTAAATTTACGACTGTTTCTACACGCAAAGATTGAAGCCTCAAATAATAATCAATACAATGCTGCTTATGAGATGATTACCATCTATTCTGATTAAACTGGACAGCTATCATGTAACTTCTACGGTTTCCGACTGGTAAGTTTCCGATGGCACTATTGCATATGCCTTGTCACGGATCTCGTTTGAAATCAGCCTATTATCATCACGAAACAGAACGAATGATAATAACCTTTGTGTGTTTAATCACAGCGTGAAAACTTTCCGATCGGAAAGCGGTAATCTCGGAAACGACATTTTCCTCATCTTTAAAGTGTCGAGAAACTTAAACCTTTCTCAGATATAGTGAACGATATTTCTAACTTATTTCTTCGCGTTTTTCCTCTCCTTGCGTTTATGTTAAAATTTCTTCGCTCTCTCGCATCTTTAATCGAACTCTTTTAGAGCAATTTATTGTTTTTTATATGTAACACGAGGTTTTTAAGTTTAATAGAAATTAATTTATTATTTTTTGATAAAATATGTTTGCATTCTTTTTGTTACAAATTTGTAAAACTTACACAAGTTTTACGAATTTTGTTCCTGATTATCAATTCGCAACATTAATTATTATATTAATTTCTAGTTAATTCTAAATAATTTAAAATTATTTATTTTTTAAATATCAATGCTAAAAAAGATATAAATTATTCTTAATTGAAAATCTTCAAATGTATGTTGTATAGTACATTCCGCATGTTAGATTCATTTCCTCAGGGATTAGTAGCCATTTTATCATATCCGACAATTAACTAGTGTCATTTATAATCTTTTACCAGAGTATTAAAGTATAACACTGGTATTAGCCATAGTTATTAATGTATTGCTATATTATTGTTGCTTTCTATACAATAGCGATTTGCAACATAACGCGCATTATCTCGATCTAATATATATACATAAAATATAGGATATCTAACACTTGTGTACAGTTTATCGAAAATAATCGAATTTATTATGTATGGAGTTAAGCATAACACAGTTTAAATACAATACAGTGTAACAATAAAGCCTTTTATGTAATTAGGTTACATTCCGTTATTCGTTTAGAGTACTGAAATTTTATAGTTCACGTTTTATAATTTTATAAATTTTTAATACAGCAATAAATATATGTAATATACAATATATACAAATAGTATACAATATGTATATTATTTAGAACACAGTCTTAATGTGTTAATTGTTAATGTTAAGATTACAATACAATTATTACAATATAATGTACGATAATATTTTTATAATTTGTGTTGCACATAATTTCCTATATTATATGTATGTCATATTTTGACTAAAGTAATGACATCCATTAAAAACATTCAAATTTTTTAATTCATCAATTAATTACATTATGCGCATGTGCAACTTTGCTTCGTAAAAGCTGCATTTACGTATAATGTTATTGATAAATCGATAAATTAAAAGTTGCCTGTAATAATATGAAATCATTACAAATGGTAGTTAACAATCTCTTTGAATTGTTTTGTGTATTAAAAAATATTTTAATAATACATATCTACTTGTGATAAATTTTACAAAACATGATATACAAATAAAATTTATTAATCGTATTTGCTCTTAAAAGGTGTTTTCAATAATTCGTAATTAATACACAATTCAGCTTTTATTTTAATTGCTATTTATTAAATTACTAATAAGAATTATTAAATCCATTTATTTTCAAATCACTTTACATATAAAGCGCAAATGATGATTTTAATTACTGTTTGTTATTATTAATTTTTTATTACTAACGATTTTTATTACTAACTGTTAATTGGCTGATCTTTATCATTTTTTAATATTTATTATTATAATGTTATTACACAAGGAAAAATATATTTTTTGAAATTATATCATTAAATTAATAACAATAATTTATATACTTTACGAATGTTTTATCATCGTTAGATGATAAATGTAGATATATAACATTTAAAGATATTTTGTTAAATATGGTAAAAATATTAATTTTTAACATATACACTCCTGTTAATTTAATATTTTTGTCTCATTCTCAAAAAGGTTATTTTCATTTTAATAATTTTATGTTATTAATCGATTTAACATTTATTTGAAAAATAGAATTAAACTGTGCCAACGTTTCAACATAACGCGCACAATATGCGTAATGAGGTTCGGAATGAATATAACGAGGAAAAGGTCATCCTTAACTCTCTGGCGACGTGGGTAGATATCCCAGAGGAAGGGGCATAAGATTGATTGCAGGTGTGAGAAAGGTGCGAGAAACGAGTCGGAACGATGTGGTGGTTTAGCTGTTTTTGTGCTAACCGAGCACTGCACTGACGCATACTCATCCAACACACAAGTTGATACTTACTCGATGTCGCATAGTGTGATTACTTACGTTCCATTTTTGCGAGATATGGAGGTAAAATCATGATTTGTCCTGCATCTTTAGAACAAGAAAAAAGTATTTTAGTTTTTCAAATTAGAATAATTTTTTCACTAATAGCTTTTCATGTATATATTTATAAATTTGTAACTATGTGATTATAAAAATTTTAAATAAAAAATATTCTCTCTCCTTTCTATTAATCTAATTATATTTTTTAACATTTGTTTAATAACAAATATTCTTTAATTAATTTTCTTTACTAACTTTTTGATTGAAATATATATATATATATATATATATATAATTATATGGTAATAAATTATAATTTTCTATCAACTCTCTTATAAAGACAAATCAATATTAAATTTATTAAAGTGATTGAAGGGAATGCTGGTTATCTCTTTAATCGTATCGTAATCATACAACACGCAACAGTTACGACTTAAATTTTATAAACTTAATCAATTTATTAATCGTTTATATACATCCTGCGTGCCAACTGTTCACACTACAGTAATGTTTGCATAAAGCATTTCATTCGTATTCGTAAATGGAAATCGGATTATCCCCTCCCCTCCCCCTCCTTTGAATATCGTGCGATAGGTCTTCGGATATTTCATATAACGAATAATTTAGTGACTAATAGAATAATGGCAGAAATGCTACAAATATAAAAGCAACAATTACGTAATTCTTATTATTACAGTAATAAAATAATCTTTCACATTTTAAAGTACTCTATCAATAATAAATACAACTTAACATAAATAACAATTAAACGTAAATTAAATTAATATGTAAAAATTAGAAAGCAGTAATAAACGAATAAACATAAATAAATTATAAACTTTTATAGAAAGTAAAAATTACTTATTTTTATTCGGGAAATCGTTGCAGCTTTTGATACAGATATCCTTGAGTTGTCGGAGGCTAACTGTTTAGGGTCTTAGGACCAACTCAAAATATTTTGAAAAGCACTCAACGTGCGGAGTGTACGATTTCAGCTCAAGTGTCAAGATACAAGATCCAGTAAAAGATTTATTTTCCGATGAATATCTCGACATATGTCGTCTCCAGCAAGAATGTAACATATCCTCTTGAAATATGTCATAAGTCGACCGTATTGCAGACTCTTTTCTTCGAGAGAATATTACATATTTGTATGAGAGAGTCATCTATATGTAGAGGAACTACTGTATCCAACTCTGGAAATGATCGAAATGTAAATATTTGGTCAATCGGATGTCTCGAGCACAATTTGCATTTTGTAAAAAAAAAAATAAAAGATATAGATAAATAAATAAAATTAAAAGAGAAAAAATAAAATAATAAATATTATAAACATATTTACAAATACAAAAGTAAACAAAATCGTAATAGTTAACACATTATTTTGAATACATAATAGTTAACACATTATTTCAAATATATAATATAAATCAAACAATTTGATTATACTTAATGATGTTTCATGTTAAATACTCGATAATGATGCAATGCAAGAATCATGTCAAATATAACAAAAGTTATGGAAATTGAACCAATTACATTAATAATTACATTGCAAATTGATAATTAATAGATAACTAATAAAATAGATAAAATAACTAATAAATAGATGTCTCTTTGGATTGTTTCTATGAAGAGCAATTATGTCAGAGTGAAAATTATCATTTGATAAATTACTTTATTTTTACATAATATTTATATAATATTTAATTTGCTTTAAAAAACAGTAAATACAGTTAATATAGTCTATTTAAAAATATAAAACAAATTTTTTAAATTAAATTTCTTGGAGCTTCTTTATCACGCCAGAGATTTCAATCCAAAAGCAATCATGATTGCGGAATTTCTGTTATATCCAGAGTAGTACAACATTGTGTTTGACTATCAGAGTTACTTCATATATATATATGAAACTATTCAACAAGTTTCTTACCATTATCGAATCACGTGTTCCAGCAATGGATGAATTGTTCGCAGGAAAGCTTTGTTCTCATGAGAATATATACCGAGTGTCAACACGCTGTCTCTTCTCTTTCTACATCTTTCGAAAGACAATGAATGAAAAAGTAGTATAAATCGCGTATTACTATATTAATTACTTACTATTTATTACTATTAATTATGTCATACTGTTGTCACATTTACGTATATATTATATATATATTCTTACATTCATATTATATAACATACATGCATAATTATAATTTTTATTTTTATTTATAAAAAATACTTTAAATAATTAATTACTTAAGTTTAAATAATTCAATACTTTAAATAATTTAATTATTTTTCATTTTGTACAATATTTTCAGGCATAAAATTTGCAGATATATAAATTATAAGTATATATAGTA